CTGTTTAGACTCCGTTGGAATCTGACCAAGGAGACCGATTAATATCGTAACAGTATATTTTGATTGCAATTCTTGCAATAACATGGAATTATAACACAGTTCGGAGGCTGACAGTGACTGATGCTACTCGCTGAGCACCGAGTAGACTACTGAGTCGCTACCACTAATTCGTAGGAACTCGACCGCAGGCTTGAACATTACAAGTGTACAGTTTCTGCCATTGTAGTTCAAACAAGCAGTAACAATTATATAACTAATACATATATACATATATATTATATATATATATAATATTATATTAATATTATATATATATATTAATATTATTATATTAATTTTGATAACTCTCGCCCAAATTTCACCATTATTCCTTTATCAATATTAAACGACTACTTCCTTCTATTCAACATTAAAGCTTTTCGTATCTCTACATCGCTGATTTGTAATTTTCCTAGATGCTTCTCAGACCACTGCGGACCCAGTTCGTATCGCGATTCGCGTTCGGATCGAAGTACCTGTAGGGCAACCGAAGAGGAAAGTAACGCAGATTGAATGAGATCATACAACACATTATACTCGATCCAACCGATATCGCATACACGACGCCTTGCATCGTTACATCAGCGCACGAAGAGATTAACGAGGCATTTGTGGGCTCGATAATGACTGGTCAAGAGCGATCGAAGACCCGAGGACACGTTGCAACATTGACAACGATATCTTTCATTGAACAGGGGTTGATCTCGAGCCATCGATGCCCGTGTCTCGGCGCTGGCCACATCATCTCGATCGGTCGCCAACGATAACCCGTACGTAAACGATCCATTGCGGGTGATTTCTGTAAAGATTAAAATGAAGAGTATTCGAGTAGAAAGAGTACAAATGAGTAAGATAGATTCAAGCATCTATTTCGGAGCTTCGGTGCAACTTTCGTGTGACTGTTACAAATTACTATATCTATTTTACTTACAAAGATAGGCTCGAGGTATAAAGGGTTGGGACTCGGAGAACCCTGCCGACTAAAAATAAAATAAACGTCCGTAATTGCTAATTAAAGCCCGCATTGAAAAATATTTCTCACTGGTAAAATCTGTCGTTCACGATTGAACGACGAAGAAGAATTGGAACGATTAGCGGTTTCGAAGGTGAAAACCGTGGGATGATCCCAGCGTCAAACAATGATGCATTAAGTTTTAATTGCTGCGGGAGTTCTTTGCGGCAGCGACGACAGCGGTACATCCGTCGCAGATTGAGTCGCTTCTTCAGGGTGACAATCTCCCTCTAGGCTTGTCACTCGCCTACTCGTCGGTGGTCTTCAAGGACCTGTCACGGGGGACTGCTTCGTCATTGTCGCCGGAAGCTGCGTCTTCACGGACAGTAGCAATCGGGGATCTCGATAAGTGCAGGAATTTATCGAGTCGCCGTGTTACTCAGGCATTTTTCATCTGTCTGCGTAATTAATCAACGAACGTTGAGTGTGCTTCAGATACCGAGTTGTAAATGATAATTAATGAGGCGAAACTATTGGGGAAGTTCTTGTGCCTCGGGAGGAAATGGAACTATTATTGAAACTGAATTGAGTCATCATTGATTCGTGGGTGAAATAGAGTTTCAATTTTGTAAATTGGTTTTATAGTGATGAAGAAGACGAGAAGACTAGGAGCGAAGAAAAAGAAGTGTCTTACTGGCGACGCTCCCTGGCAATTTTCAGTTTCACTGACTCCGGCGGAAATGGCTTTCTCACGCCCGTGACGGAATTGTCATTATACTTTACGACTGCGAAAAACATCTACACAGATCGATCATTGACAATTAGTAGTTATAGATCAAAAATACCTATTCAAATAACACTAAACTCAAGGATCTCCTTCATTTCATTACAAGTAGTTAAAAAAGCACAATGCAAGGTTCAAAATGAAATATAAACACAAACCTAACTACCACAATTACCAACCATAACCGTAACGGACTCATTAAAATCCAGAGTACATAATCGCTTTTTAAGATCGTTTACCTATCGTTCCTCTCAAATCATCGTCCTTCGAACCTTCTCAATCAATTACATTCTCCTCCTCGATGAGCCAATTATTATCCAGAATTGACGTATCGTGGCAGTCTACCCTGTATTTACATTTAATCTCGATCCATTTATTCGTCCTCGAGGCTCTTCAAGGCCGAGTTCGCCATCCAAGCTCCCTGAAAACACCTCCAACGAGCAGAGATAACAGAAAAAATTGGTCAGAATTTATCTCCCACATTGGATAGTCTGAGCAGAGCTGCAGGATCGCCAACCGCGAAACTCGGCGCGTCGGGTAATCTCTGGTGGAAATCTGGCGAGCAAAGAAAGTTCAGCTGGAGGAAAACAAGAGTCCAACCGAAGTGAGAAGCGCGAGTACGGCGAACATGAACACCTAAGGAGGAGGGGATGAAAGCACAAGCCAGGAACCACGAAAGACAACGATCAGGAAGAGGTCGACGTCGAGGTAGCAACGGGAAGCGAACAAGGAGAAGAGGTCCTGGCCAGGGATAACCGAGGGAGAAAGAATCGAACAAGAACGGTAAGGAGCGAAGAGTCGCACGGTGTTCCATAGGCATAGCGGATCCTACGTAGCGGTAGATACCTTCAGATAATACTCTCATTTACATAGGTAGGCGCATAAATGAAAAGTAATGCGATGCACCGCGGAGCGAGCATATCGCGTGCGAGTTATACATTGTATATCTGGGTAAGTGGATATGCAGACCCGTTTGGGAAGCGACTCGAGAATGCACTTTTCGAACGATTATTTTCCATGGAATTCCATTACTTTGAATTTTCAACGAATTTGGGTTTCTTGTACTAGCACTTGTACTAGTTCACGTTATTCAGAGTTTTACTATTTTCATTCTAGACTACTGGAGTATTCTATTATTCCAAAATTGTATCGCGTAAACTAGCAGACATTCACTTACAGGTCGATCGATGACTCGTCCTTTGAGGTTCCTGCAACGACTATGAATGTTTAATTAATTTGGAGATGTTAACCCTTTGCGTTCCTATATCGAGCGAGGCTCGACAAAAATGTACTGAAATCAGAAAATTTGGACTGGTTAATTTGAAATGCTTTCTTATTACTTCTTGTAATGTACTTGGACGATTAGCAACGTGAGGGCGACACGTCTCGATGAATACCGATCCAAAGACCCGTGTACGCGATCCCCGAAACAGTCCAAGTTTAATTTCTGCCATGGTTTAGGTTCTGCGTGGCTGGCACACGTGCTTCGATTATAACGTATCTAGTTATGATTACCATTTGGTAGTTTTCATTAATAAACGTATATATATATACACACATTACACTTCTATTACTGCATTCTTATGTGTTAAATTCAAACTAATTCCTCTCTCTGCGTTTCGCTGCACTATTTATTGTCAATCGTTACTTCGATCACCGCCACTGCGCCGCCATTACCGGAAGGAAACCGCGCTAATTTCAGTCGAATGAAGTTCGCCCGGAGTGGTGTCATCGTGTCGGCGCCATTAATTAAAGGGTCCCAGCCAGCACCTGAACGCAGTCGTTCGACCACCACTGTCGTTTTACACCTTCCTGTCGTTTCTCGAACAACCTCTGCGACTCCGAGTGTTTCGATGAAAAACCGTCATTGCGTTGCGTCTCTTCCTTCGAAGCGACTCGCGCGGTCCTAGGATTGCGTGTCAAGTACGAACTGATACCGATACCTCGCAGAAACAAGAAACAATAATAAATAAATATGTGCAGGCTGTCCCGTTTTAAACGTTATCGAGGAATGATATAAACTCAAACAAAATAACGATGATTTTAAGTAGTACTCAGTCGTTGCTCAAATGATTAGCGTCGAAGGAAGAAGAAAACTTTTCTATCTCGAGGAAGTGATGCATACTAAATAGCTATTAGTTGATAAAAATGATCAAAATCAATTTATGAAATACGTAGACATTGATCTGTAGGACGAATAAAAAATAGAAATAATTTATTCGATCCAACGTGAAATAAAAATCTCACTTGATCAATTACAGTTAGAATCGAATGGTGGAGGGCAGGGAAAATTGTCACTCGAAAGCGGGAGTTGCTGTGATAACACGTTCCACGCGTTCGAGATATAAATAACTGAGATATAAGTGACTGTCTCGCCTGGAGAGGAGCATCGACTGAGCGAGTTCAGGTGAACGGAACCCTAACGCGTTCGATGCTTGGCTGGAACGACCCAACAGTCAGTCATATCGCATCGTTATCGACTCTAGGAGGAGAAAGGCAACGGATGTGACGGTGATTCGAGAATTTCGCGGGAAAAGTTAACAGTATCGAGCCCGCTGGCGTTTCCGATGCGACTGGCTGTTACTGGTCGTACCCACGGGGTCTGTTTTATTTCTCGGGGAAAGAACGATCGAGCGAATAGCGGCCGTGAAATCGCGATACGACGTCTTCGGGCCCGTAAAGAATTATTAGAGAATCGCGGGTCCGCTCTCACGGGAGCACAAGACACGCCTCTTGACTCCTGCGTTTGATTATGAGGGCACATCTGGAGGAGTCGCAACAGTTCACCTTTCGTCATTCATTTTTTAGTGAATTTAAGATCTTGGTAGGTTACAAACAAATGTTGTTGGATGAAAAATGTTTGTAGATGAATGAAATATGGCTATCGATGACAAGAATTTGCCGTACCAAGCTTAGCTTCAGAGAAACGGAAGAAATTAAAGTAGAACCATAGTTAGACAAAATGGCGACCATGCGCAGGCTCCCATACAATAATCGAGGTTCTACTGTATCTCTGACTAGATTAATCCTAAGTAACACCAAACATAAATAGAAATATCTACACAAAGAGAGGTATTCCAATGTATGCTCCAAGCGATTCTGAACCAAGAAGACCCTGCATAAATTCATTTCCACCCCTGAGGGCAAGCCTTGTTCGGTCTCCATACCAGCCAGCAGGAGTAGGTGCTACCAGTTTGAGAATTAAATAATAGGTTCTTGAACTAACCAAGGAAGCAGCTCGTTAGTTATCAGTGTCTTATCCACTGTTTAGTGTAAATTCTCAGTCAGTCTCACAGCAATGAATATACCCCTTTAAGGGAAAGGACGAACGAGGGAAGAACGCAAACGCAATGCCAACGCGTTTTTCCCTGGACCGGTACACGCGTACAACGCGCATGCTTTCCTTCCGCAATTTATTCGGAATGCTGTCTTAGGCGCCACTCTGTTCTCGTGGGGAACACCAAAGAAACGCGCAGGAATTTTGAACGGTACGGTTCTTGCTTCCGTTGCTTCCTTTTTCCGTGCTGGCGAGGGAATATTTTCTTAACCCATTGGAACCATTTCGTGGTCTTGTTCTTCATCGCCCATTGTAAAATTGAAGTGTTTGAGCGGCGATTGTACTTTTGTATGCAGCCACAGGTTGAAACTTTATCGTATTCTTAAATAGAAGCACCTAACAAGAGAATGCTTCAAAGAAAGCTAAGTGATGTTCATCGAAACAATTAGAAGAAACAATTTTGCCAATTTTTCCAATAAAAGATTGGCCAACCTCTGCTTCGTTTCAATTTCAATAGCCGGCAGATCTATACAACCTCGAGCACTAAACAGTTTCTGAGATATCTAGAAATAGAAAAAAATAGAAAAAATACCAGTCCAGTCGATCGATCGTGCTGTTTGACCAAGGAACAGACCGTGAAGGAGCGTCGCGATCGAGCGCGTCCGCGACGCCTTGACTTTCTCCCATTGTAATTCTCGTACGAACTTTTATGGACACGCGTAATTACTCGATCAACGTGGCCGCCGCGAACGTGTCGAGATCCCGGGCGCGAGATAAAGCCCCGTCCACACGAAAGCTGTTGGGGGCCTCCAGGCGGCGTGTGTACGGGATCGAGAAGAACGAGCATGTGGGTGAAGGCTGGAGGGCTCTCCAGGATGTGTCGAAAGTGAAACCCAAGGCCTCGTGCACATCCTTGCCGTATGCACACGCAGATGCGCGAGGAACACCGTAAGATTCGTCCTCGAGGCGCTCGATCATCGTTTCGGATCGATATCGATCCTCCCTGGGCGACCGTGAAGGGTGGACGTCGAAGGCTGCGAAATTTCTATCGACGACGTTGCGCAACGACTTCGTTCTTCCACGTAAAATAATAAAGCTGTGAGAAGAAGCGTGAGGATTTTGAACAGATTTGGTGTGATTCCGGAGCGTAGGCGGTTGGAATTCGTATTACTTTTATTACTTTTAATAGAAGTAGAATGAAAAGTGATGAATACTGCATGCGTACAAAACAATGTGGCAATAGAAAACTGTATACAATGAATGATAAATCTATACTTTGTGAGATAAGTGACCAGGAATGAAGTGTGATTAATTGATATCATTCTGAATGGAATGTCTTAGGTCAGGTTTACTGTCCTTTATGCTTGAGTATTAAATCGCATCTGTACTTCATGGAAATATCGGTTATTTTAGACAGGATACGCCAAGTATCCTTCCCTCGACGACAACTTGGCAAGCAATTGGATATCGTGACGCAAACGCATCTGAATTTATCGCATCCTCGCGATCCTTTGGCCTTTGCTCGTCCTCGAGCGCTCTTCACTTCGTTTAGCCCAATTCAACCAGAGATATTCCCTTAGCAAACCAAACGAAAACTCGGCGAAACGCTTCACTGACTTTCAACGAAGAATTACTGCGCGAACTCTGGGCGGATGGAAGCGATATCGAATCCGTGAATGCTTGCGCGAAGGCAGCTTCCTCCGGTCGTGGTCTTCTTAGCGGCGGCCAAGAAACAGGTTAACACGATTGAAACTGGAATGAAGAGGAATTATGGTAGCGTCCATAATGAAAAATGTTGGATCACGAAGTAAAGAGCGTGGCTTACGTATGACGAAGCCTGCCAAAACGATCAGTGGCGCCAGGCAGCCATACTCTAGCAGAACTGGGAAAAGAAGACTTCCGACGATAGATCCTAGTCTTCCAGCTGTCCACACAAGGCTCACTGCGATGGTCCTGGTTTCCAGAAGATGAAAATGAACCCAATTATTCGATTAACGTTTGTAAACTGAGAATTTATTGACAAAATACCTTAACGAAGTTGGGAAGAGGATAACAGCTGCGCTAACGACAACGTTAAGGTTGGTGGTCATCAGTCCTACGAACGTGCACATCAGTACCAACGTGGACATTGCGTTAGAAGACCAATTCAAGTACACTATGCAGAAAAGTGCCACCCCGTAACAGACGACTAAAACAAGAAAGAATATGTGATTTTAGCAGGAAAATTTTGGAACCCACTTTATAAATAATCTTTGCAAAAAGAGTGGTGAGAGTGGTTAAATACTCACACAGCAAGTTCTTCTGATTAATGATCTTCAGTACGAGAGTAGCCACCAGGATGCAAATGATTGTAAAGGTATATATAATAACAGTGCTCATGTAAACCGATTCGTTTATGACGGCCTAGAAAACGTGCACCAAAACATGTCATTACTAAAAACTTTGAAACCATAAATGAAAAGGGTAACTTAATCAAAAGTATAAATTCTGTCTAGGAAGTTACACTTGTAACGCGCGGCATTCCGCGCGCCTACTTGTTATTTCTAAAGATCTTATTACAAGTACGCAGCCATTAGCTCGCTATTACTCGCGACAAAGGATCAACAAATGGTTCTTTTCCCGCGAGTAATACATGAGTGGAGACCCGCGAGGGAGATACAAGGAAATAGGAGAAAAATGGAAGGAAACAAAGTTCCTTCGATCTCCAGTTACAATCTTAGAAACTAAGATTGTTCGAACGATCCTTCGTCGCGAGTAATAGTGAGCTTATAGATGCAAACTTGTAGTAAGATCTTTAGATATAAAAACTAGGTGCAGATTCTCTTTCCTGCCTTATTCTGCGTAGAAATTTAACGCAAGCTTTTCTGTACTAGCAGAAAGTATAAACTCAATGATCTCACGTTTACACAACTTGTCCCGTCTGTCGTGGAATTGCCATTTGCGTTGGTGGAGAAGTCCAGGATGTCGCAAAACGTTATTTTCTGGTCTGTTGTTGCATTAGTTTGCGATACAAAATTGTCCAATATCGCGAACAGCTCCGGTTGCCACAGGCGAATAGTATTTGTGCTGCAAAAGATGATTATACATGTATAAAAATATTAATTACTACATATAAAGTTTGAGGTACGCGGAATATTATTTTTATCAACAAACGAAATTTACATCCAAGGGAATAAAAAATCCTTCTTTCTGACGTCAAACTAATCTCGACACGTCATGCAACTATGCATGGCACGAGAACGACGTATTAGTTTGATAAGGCGAGCGTGTCATTCGTCATACCGCACCTAGTCAGCTGATATGTACTTTGCTCTCGTGTTCTGATAAAAATATGAATACTTAACAGCGTCCTAATTAATTTTTAACTTCTCTTTACTGCCCAGTCACACTCTGCGATCGATCACGATTAATTATGTGATCTGTTCATTATGTCAGCAGTGCATTATTGTTCGATGGGGCTTCTATAGGTAAGATTTAATAAATATTAAAATAAAACTGCATCAGTCACATGTCTGATAAATTTACTTATCGGTGATTACCAAAAGTGTAGAATTAAGTAGCGCTTATCAACATCATCATAGACATCGTCCAGCCGATCGACGTGTAAGAAGCTTTCGTATCTCGTAACAAAGATAAATGGACTTAAACGCTACTATCATAATTAACGACTCGTGTGATTGATAAGCGTTCGAAAGCAGTCGTGCGCTCACGCATATAGTTGTTGAGTGCATAACGTTTTAAATGTGATCGAAATAAAGAAAATATAGCTACAATAGGTGAAAAAGAACTGGAGTACTGATAATTATTATTTATATATATTATCCGATGAGAAATTCCTTCTCCCAAACAATCAAACAACATACATAACAGAAATTGATTTACTCACGCCAACATCGTTCCAAATTGAATAAGAGTGACCAAGAGGATTCGAGGCAAGTGCGGATAAAAGAAAATGGCTGTCTTCTGAGACTTCTGATTCAGGTTAGCGTCGCTGGACGCTTTGTGATAGGATTCGTCTGCCAAGTCCAATATCTTGGTAAAACAGTAAATAAAGATACTTGAATTACTGCATACATAAGTCTTTAAAACAATCGATTTCTCCGTAAACAAACTTTACACTCAGCAGTTTCAAAGATACGCGGTCGACCTAGTTTCACAAAGTTCCGCGATAACATCTGCATTCCGATACACGCTTTCCATCACCAAAGCTATTCATACTGCCATTTCGGATATCTTACCGGATATTCGTTGGCAGGTCTTCCCGTGTTCAGTTTGTAAATCATTTTGAAGACTTTCATCGCTTCCTCGTTACGACCGCGCGACATCAGGAACTTCGGACTCTCTGGAAACAGGAAGAGAAAGACGGTGCCTAACAGCGTCGGGACGCCGCACAGAGAGAGATAAATTCTCCAGGAGTTGAAAACGAAAGCACCGTTCCAGATGACGATGGACCACGGTTGAGGGACCACCAACCATCCCAGTGCTAAAAAGTAAAGCGACTTAGTCAATCATGGAGACACTAATTGAAATGGGTCTTGGAGAGTTTTTAAAATGAAAACTATTCGATGGATCGAAATGAAACTTTTTATGCTTGTTAATATACTTCTAGAGAAGTCACGTGAATCTTTTCATGTATTTTATTTCAATAATGTGTGAGCAGTACCTGCAGCCACGATGGTCCCGAATATAACAGAAAATCCGACGAATAGGGGGATTCGCCCTCTTCCTTTGATTCCGTAGAATTCGGAACAGTATGTCACCATTGCTGCGTGAGGGCCACTTAGTCTGAAACATGAGAAATTACATAGAATTGTTTGAAATCAGGTGGGAAGATAAGGGATCCTCAATTATGAAATATTGACTTTAATGAGTCAGATAATAATCGAGCACTCACATAACCCCGTTGATAAACTTAAAGGACGCTAGTGTCCAAAAGTTTTGCGAGAAACCGGTGAGAATATTGCAAATTCCGTCTGCCATGTAGCCATAGATGACGACAGACCTTCTGCCTCGAACGTCGGCTACGTAGCCCCATAGAAACCCGCTTGAAACCATCCCTATTTAAAATTAACGAAAGAACTATTTGAGCCATGCAATTTGTAATAAAGAAAATCTTATTCTATTAGTAGATAACAAAAATAAAAGACCTGGCCAAATGACATGTTTCACTCTATATATTATTCTTAATAACCATCTAACGAAGCATTTCTTGTGTGTTCAAATAGGATGCTACCCACCAACGAAAGAGATGGCATTCAGGACTCCTTTTTGGAACAGTGTGGTCTTCAAATCGCACTCTATGGTCGGAAGAATTATCGATATGGACGTAGCATCCATTCCACCTGCCCATGCCGCTGGAATGACCGCCAGAAGAAGAAGGAACTGAAACTTTCCGCTTCCGGCGGCTGCAATGGCCGTCTCGAAGTCCGCTGGCTTCTTCTCGTGAATATCTTTGCCCATGTTCCCTACCGCTGAGTTTAAATTCATTTTATTTTATTTTTTAGGAAAGAAACTACTTCTTGGTTCTTTGAAAATAACGTTTGGTCTGGTAAGTATTACTTTTTCCATTGGAAAAAGAAACATCGAACTCACCGGAAGCATTTTTCTCTGGAACAGCAATGATGCTGTCATTGTTGAGTGGCATTCTGGGGGAGATCATCCATCGGATTTCAAAAATCCACGGGAAGGATTAAAATGATCAAAATCCTAATCTCAACTCACTGCTAGTCTTTAGATCATCCGCGGCATACTTCTGGGTATGGTGCAGAAATAAAAAACCGAAATGATGATATTCGAGTAATTTTTATCTTCGTCTACTCTCCACTATCTTTTCTTAAGTATTAGAAAATCGTTCGTAAACAATTTGATTTCTTGAGCAAACGTGCATAGCCCAATTTTAAGTGGCTAACGCCAAATTCTTTCGCGTTAGTTAGAAAGAATTCGAATAAAGTATTTATATTTAATAAAAAGTGTAAACTTTTCATAAGGCTTCTAAGTATCACGCAACCCACGAGGTTTCAATTTCACAACTATTCTTTATCGTTGCACGACAGTTGCCAAGGTGCAACATCGCGGATCAACGCCAGCGATTTTATCAATTAAATTGTATCCTTCCGTTCGCGAAAAATACTCTTTAAAATCGAGAAAGCGAAGAGGCTACGAGTAAAAATCCTTTTGGAAATGTATTCTTGCTGCAACATTGATAGGAAGAACTTCCAAAGCATTCCGAAACAGCTTATCGAGATTTCGTTACGTAATGCGTCACAGAATCGGTGGTACGGCTGCTCGCGATATCATAAATCATAGCACGTATCGTAAGACAATAAAAATGTACGTAACTGCGCGCGTCAGTCCAGATAAGTTCTTGTTGCACGTATATGGAAAACGGTATGCAACCTCGGAACCTATCAATTACGTCTTGCCCAAGGCGTTGCGCATAAGCGATTCAATATTTTTGTTCCTTTGCTAGTATTTATAAGTAATCGAATCAACGCTTTCGAGCCTCGAGTTCGATTCCTCTTCGAAACACATAGAGATTACATGGAGTAACAATCGATATTTACAAGTACACTCATAAGAAAATAATTATTATTTATTTATTATTTTCTTATATTACTTTATATAATTATATAAATATTCATTTCTATTCTGGATAGTCTTTGTGGACTTTCAGAAGGACCCAAACTTGACAAGTTAATTTCCATAAAAAAAAGGAAACGCTTTGTTCCCTCGTTTCTACACGGCAATTAAAATCGCTGATAGTTGGTTTTGCGTTAACGATCAACGAACAGCAGTGACTTCTCTTAACTCAAGTGGCAAGTTACACGCTTCGGGTACTTTGACAGCTGCTTTGTTCCTTTGTTGTGCTCGATACAGGAAATATCATGTCCACCCTGACCTTACGCTCGCGATACTAGCGGCCAGATACCCGTTGAAAATTATTGAAACCAGCGGCCATTTTTCCTCTAAAAATTCTAACATTACCAGCGATGAGCAACAAATTTTTAGCTAAACTTTCTACTCATTCTAACACTGTAACCCAAACTTTAAAGCAGTCTGACATAGTGTCATACGTACGAAAAAACTTATCAGCCTTACCGAAAAGAACTCGATATTTATCACGATTTTTATTGTCACTGGCGCAATTCATTGAACGCTACACGAAGATTCGAACTTTCCTTTTAAGACTACTGCCGTTTTCTTAATTTTCGTCTTTCTTTATATGTGATGGGTCGAACGATAACGACGCTTACGTAGATTAAAATCTCTTCGAACTCTTTGTGTCTCGAAAATAACGACGGTTATCGTGTCAACTGTGAAGACGAATTATTGTTTACGTGTCCATCGACAACAAAACATTAAACAGCGATTTGATGGATTTTTGAATTGCCAGACGATTCCAGGATCATTTCTCTGTACACCTTCAGTTGTACACTGATTGTGTATAGGCCAGACATTGAATCATCTCTTGCAGTGATAGATTCTTTTTAACCGTGTTGCATCTTGTAGAGCATGCCCCCCCCCCTGGTGGTCCCATTATCACGACTTTTTGCGATTTGTCATTTTTTAACCGTCTTTTGACTAAAAAACCGTGATTTTTAGGTATGCTTGCCGATTATGTCGAGATGGCTTGATGAATCGGAGTGAAACCTCTTGCATCTTGTCGAATATTTCTTCCAGTTGATCGCGTAAAAGAAACATTTTGTGATTTGTCATTTTTTACCCGTCCTTTTTTTAAACAGAAACATTTTATCTTGCTTTTTACTCCGAGACGGATGGACCAATCAGATTGAAACTTCTTGCATCTGGAAGAGCATTTGCCATTTAGTCCCATAACAAAACATTTGTCCTTGTCTTATTTTTTACCACTTTATATCACTTTTTATCGCAAAAAGCGTACTATTTCACGTATGTTTGGCCTGAAACCGATGAAATCAATGAAACCTCTTACATTTTTCTGCCGGAGAGGTTTTCACAATGATCACAGATGCAAAAATTTATGAATTTCTGTATTGTTTATAACTATTGTTATCGCAAAATTCCTATTATATGATGTAACTCGGTGAGGAAATTACCGAGCGCGATGGAACCTTCCGCATTTCATGATACATGAATTCGTGATGTTCCCATTTGCAAAAATTTATCGACACTTTTATTGTTTTATTGTTTAAAATCAATGTTGGTGCGAAATTGTTATGCTGTGGTGTAGCTCGACAAGGAATTTACCAAACGCAATCAATCCTTTCACATGTATTTGCACATGTATTCCTGATAATCCCATTTGCAATTATACAGGGTGTCCAAAAAATGTTGGATGTCCTTGAATAGGGTATTTCGGGGGGAGAGGGCGTGGGGATGATTTGAAACAATTTTTTCTTAACGAAGATGTTGTTCGAGGCTTCGTTAAGGAGATATTGACAGAAACCCCCGACCAAACAGAGCGCGAGTATGCCAGTGGTGCGCCTGCGGTAGCATAGGCCCCACAGGCGCTCCTCCGGCATACTCGCGCTCTGATTGGTCGGGAGTTTCTGTTTCTGGAATATCTCCTTAACAATCCTCGAGCAACATTTTCGCTAAGGAAAAATTGTTTCAACCCCGCCGCCCCTGCGGAACAAGCCTTTTCAAGGACCTCCAACGTTTTTAGGTCAGCCTGTATATTGCTCATAACTGTTAATATTACATAAAAACCTATAGGTTATATATTGCCACTAAAAAGAGTGAAATAAAATAATTTTTTGAAAAAAAAAATTAAACCGTCATCAAAAAAGGTACAGTGAAAAGTATGAAATAATTTCTTGTTAATTTATATAAATACGCACTAGTTCTAGATATAATTGTTTAAAAGTATGGGAAAATGCAATGAAAAGCATGAAATAATTTCTAGTAATTTATATGAATCTGCATTATCGACCGAGCACTCCACATTATCGACAGAACGATCTGCATTATCGACCGAGCACTCCACATTACCGGCAGAGTAACCCGCATTATCAACCGAGCACTCTACATTACCGACAGAACGATCTGCATTATCGCCCGAGTACTCTACATCACTTACAGAGTAACCTGCATTATCGACTGAGTACTCCACATTACTGGCAGAGTTACCTGCATTATCGACCGAGTACTCCACATTAGCGGCAGAGTAACGTGCATTACCGACCGAGCAC